TCTTTGTATTTATTAGTTTTAAAATCCTACACATCTCTCCACAACCCTCCTCCCCCCAACTGTTTCTTTTCTCCTTAACTTTGTTTAGGATATAATTTTGAATTTTACTTTAAAAGAAGATTGTTGGTGAAGAATCACAGTCATGACCCATAAAATGTCTTCTCTTCATAGATAGGCTATGAAAAACCACCCCAACTATTCATTTTGAGTGTGTTTTTCTTCAGATCTCAGCAGATTCATATCTCATCTTAGGTTTTCTTTTATTTACAAAAACAAGTAAAAATAGCTAAAATGCTTTTCACAATTTTTTTTCTCAGTTCAGTTAGCATAAAGCATTCCCAGCCTTGAAACAGATTTGCTGTATAAAAAATGTAAAGAAGATTTTAAAAATTGATCTTCTGGAACACTGTGCTATAAATATTACTTAGTTTCCCAAGTTTGACCACAAAAGCTTAGTTAATCCATCATGATGCTTAGCTTGTATCCTGGGTCCTGGGTATAAGAACCCGGTAAGAGGTGGGGTAGGGGCATCTTTTTTATCCTATTTCTGATCATTTGATTTTGATTCCTTCCTGCTTCTCTGTACCTCCCTTCCTCAGAGCCGGTGCCCTACTGCTGAAGGCGCTGTGGTGTCTTCCCCATCCCACTTCCAAGTCCTCACGGTGCTGAGGGCATGGTGACCCATAAAATTTATTGGGGATGGTGAGCAGACAGTGTTTGCTAACACCAGCTAACTGTATTAATTGGCAGGCATCTGTGAATGGTGATGCAACTCCTTTCCTTTTTAAAGATGATGTTTCTTAAACAAACAAACCTGTCATTGGAGGAACTTTGAGAGTGTGGCAATGTGAGGGGCCAGGGTGGGGGTCAGTGTGACAGATGATTTTGAAAAGGAAGTGGTGGAAGAAGGCCACCATGTGAGCAGTCTGGCCTGCCTAGGGGGTCACTACACATTTACAGAATGAATGAGTGGACACAGTGATTACTTTCCCTACCCTCCACCCCAACCCTCCCTCCCACTCCTGATTGAAAGCCAGACTCTGAGTGGAAAGTTGTGTCTGTTTACTGGGAGAGTGGGAAATCATGACCTGGTGGAGTTAGGAGCCTAGCAGGGTGTGTGTAAGTCATTTATTAAGCAAGGAAGGGAACCCTATGTTCTTTTTCACATACGTGGCTTTTTTCCTGTGTAAAAATAATGCATGTCTGTTAAAGACTAAAGAGAAAGAGATTGCCCTTGGTGCCACATGCGAAGAAAAACTGCCGTGAGGATGTTCAGACACTTTCTTACAACCTAAGTAAATGAAGTTGGTGCTTTAGTATTGTTTTGTTCTTTTAAAATACTTTTTTTCTGCTGAAGATTATGATCATCTGTTTTGAGGAAATGATACTTATTAATGGTTTAAGATTAGGGCTATAAAAAAAAGTGAGAACACTGTGGGTAATTCTCACCTCTCCTTCCTCATTTTAAGTACTGAATTGCATATTCTGAAGAGTAGATTTCTTTTTAAAATTCTTCTCTCTGTCTGAAATTAGTGGCCCTAAGTGCCTTTTTTCCCCCCGTGGTCAGCTCTCCCTCCACTGCTGTGACATCGCCAGACCCTGTTTGTGGCTAAGCCCCTGCCTTGTGTGCTGGTCTAGCTCTGTGCCTTACAACTTCTCCTTCCAGGATCTGTGCCTCTTTCCACTATTCTCATTCCTTTTCCAGTGCATCTCAACAGATGCAAGACATACACCTTTAAAAAGCAAACACCTGGCTAGCCACAAGCTACCACTTCATCTCTTACCGCTCCTTCCCAATGAGACTTTATGAAACTATTTTTGTGCCTAGGACCCAGAGTCACCAAAGGCCTCCTGGTGATTAAGCCCAAATGTTTCTTTTTAGGCTGCACATACTTGACCTTCCAACAGCTACCTCGACTGGCTCCTTATCTCCCCTTTGCTTCTATAACTCCAGGACCTTCTGGATTTCTGCCTTTCCCCACCTGCTTCTTCTTAAGCTTCTTTTTGGGACTCTCCCCTTTAGCTACACACATTTCTCTTCCTCTAGGTCCATCCTATGCCCTCTTCTTGCCACATATACACACACACTGATGACTTCCAAATTTCTGCCTCCAGCCATCTTGTGAATTGAGACTCTCTTTTCCCACTGTCTGCTGGACAGTCCACTTAGTCCATAGACATCCGGAAGAGTATGACCCACACAGACGCCATCTCCCCCCCCCCCCAACTTGCCTTTCATCCAGTGCTTACCATGGTGGTGGATGATCACGGAGGCCCTCAAGTCTTCTGCTAATGATCTCTCCAGTTATTTTGAGCTTCATCCCCATTGCTCTTCCACACACTTCAGGTCACTTTGCTGATTTCTCAGCACTTCCAGAGACTCCTAAATTGTCCACTGAAGGAGAAGTCTGACCGCGTCACCCCTGTATTGTTACCTTCAGTGCCTCCTCACTTCTCAACTTGGTTTTGCAGCTCTCTTGTCATCAGACTCCTGGTTGCCTCTGGCCCCTCCCTCTTCAACTCCTCGGTCCCTTTGTATATGTGTTTTCCCTGGAAACACTCCTCCCCTTAGCTAACTTCTCATCACTATGACTGCTCACATGTTTTTCCTTCAGGAAGCCCTCTTTGGCCTGCTAAAAACAGAGAAAGCCACTGGTCTTTGTGCTCCTGGCACCTTGCACCAACCTGACAGTAACGCACACCTGGTACTACGTGGCCTGTAAGTTGCCCTTCTTGTCTAGACTGTGAGGCAGGACTTCATCTCTCTCGCTGTAGTCTCCTTCACACTTAGTCTAGCCCAACAGTCACTAATGGAGTGGAAGACAACACCACTCTCCTGCTGGCTCTCGGCGGCACTAGTAGCTAGCCAGAAAAGGTGCTCCCCCTGCGGTTTTGTGTGCTTCTTCGAGGAGCAGAGAACCCTGAAACTGTTCAGTGGGAGGCTAAAATTTTGAGACAAGTAGGTCTCCTAAGAACCCATTTTGAAAATATAATTCAAAGGAAACTTATTTCTTCATATTTACTCTAAACTATTTTTAGGAAAATAAACTACAGAGAACTACTTGTTGCCATCTATGTGTTTTAATCATGTTAAAATGACTTCCTATTTTAACTAGTATTGTGTAATAAATACCAACTTTTTTCAATGCATGAGAGTTTTATGATCACTTCATATGGAGACCCCAGCACTGAGAGTGGTGACAGCCTTGCTAGCCCCAGTAGCAGTCCTGATCCCCAAGGAAGTGTGCACACCTCTCCCAGGCACTTACATCTAAGGGGAGGCCTTGGCAGGTTCTTTTTTCCATACTAATTCCCACCAAAGCTCCAAAGAAGATTTGTTAGGCGAATGGAAGAGAGCCAGTGACTGGGTCATGGTGAGGGTTCTGGCAACTTGAGGACACAGTTTCTGAAAAATATGGAAGAGTTCTTACCCACTAATTTATTTCCTGCCCACTATTTCCACTGAATAGGTAATAGTCTTATATAAAATTATTGCTTACTATATCAGTGGAATGAAACAATGACACATATAGCTTTTTTCTGGATTACTCATTTGTTCTTTGTACATTACATCCAGGTTCCTGTTAATTCAACTAGATCAGCTCAGAATTACAACATATGACATCATGTGGTCCATGCTTTATTACCTACTTGTCTTCATTACCTAGACATCTAATCAGAATCTTCTAGTGTCTTCTTTGGTCATGGCAGTCACTTTTTGGTGAAGACTGCCCATCCGTGGTCTGTTTCAGATCTCTAGTTAATACGAGGCAGTGCCTGGCCAACCCTCTGGTTCTGCCGATTTCGAAGTCTTTGGAATGAATTATTGCTTTTTTCTGGCATCATGCTGGCTTACTTAATTGTTTCATGCTTCTCCCAAGAGATCTTGACATGTTATTTATCCTTCATCCTCCTCTTGTGAATGTCACAGTAAGGAATTCATTTACTATTTTCCAGCTCTTTTCTTTTTCTGTCAGTAATTCAATGCAACATTTCTTAGAGTTGTTCCCTCTCCTTCACTCATTTTCTTGATGCCTTTTAATTATTTCTCAACTTTAAGAATTATTTCACAGCTTCTACTATTTAGTAATTCATGCTATCCTCAAAGAGGTTACTTTATTCTTTTGATCATTCAGATTTCTGTGGTATTGATCCTGCAGATCAATGATGGAGAAGAATCAATATCTTGAACCAGTGTGGCTGAAGAGCAGGTCTAACAATGGAACAATCCTCTTGGTTTATTTCTGTTCTGCAGAGAAAGAAGCAAAATTATAAACCTTATATTTTATGTTATAGAGAGCCTCTTTAATGTTGGTATAGAAGAGAAATAAAATAGCTTTTAAGCTCCCTATTTCCCATAGATAATGGGTATACTCTATATTATAAAGGGTGCACTCTACATTTCTGGGTGCCCCTCCTATACTATACAGAGTTAGCAGCCAATGTAGTTCATCACAATCAATATGTATTGATTATTATTTCATGAAAGAAACTACACCAGATAGTACTGGGGATACAGAGAGTTCAAGGTATCTGATGTTTAAGCCACATGGATGTTTTGTTAACCTTAATTTGAAATGTAGCGCAGAAAGGATGTTGTTGGGTAAAGAGTGGAGTGACTCTGCAGATGGTGTATGCTAAAGTACCTTGGGAGTTAAGTCACGTGTAGGGAAAAAAACATTTTGGGAAAGTAATTTTGAATATACTTTATTTTCCTAAAGCATTGAGAGTAGTGCATGAAATCAATTTAAGGTAATAAGTGATTTTAAAAGAACGGAGCAAAGTAAGTCAATAATTATTGAATGGACCACAGTAGGGTGGGTGAATTAAATGTAACTCATGAACCTGGTTGATCTCTGATTTGTCATGAAATTAGAATTTGGTAATTAGAAATTACCAAGATTAACGAGAAGGTTCACAGATTGCCTAGTTACCAATTTATTTCCCTGCACATGTGGCTCACTGTGTTAACGTCAACAGGTATTCTTTTTTATTTTCAGCATGCACTCCTGGCTTTAAAGTTTATACTTGCATTTGCCATACCTGATAAGCCACGGCATATCCAGATGAAACTGGCCAGATTGGAATTTGAGTCTTTGGAGGCACTCAAGCAGCAGGTAAGGGCAACTTTCCTGAAAATAAATTTATTTCTTTAGCAAATGCCAAGAGACGTAATTCAAAATTCAGCAGACTCACTCTCAGTATTTCCCTCAGTCTCGAAGCTACCAGTTTAAATAAATATAGAAGACAGCACTCTGGGGTGGCATAAAACAAAGCCAAAATACTAGTAACATGAACAACACAGAGGTTTAAAGAATGAAATTAAGCAAAACAAAAATATTCAAGCTATGTTAAATAAAGAATAGGGCTAGCATTCAGCAGAAGAATAGGCAGAGATTTCCAAGAATCACTGTGGGGCAGCTTCCCACAGAGTTTAAGTCTGCCTCCCACGGAAACATTACTAGAGAAGTGAGTAAATAGAATCCTGAATACTGTCTTGCAGAGAGTGGGAGAGAATGTGAGAAAGTGTGGGCAGAAGCAGCAAAAAAAGGTCATCAAAGTGGAAACCACTTCCCAATGACTTCAAGAGAGAGAGATTCCCAACATACCCAAAACTTGTTTTCTCCAATGATACAAAGGAATGTAACGATCAAACCAACATGACGGTTTCATACTAGGGATAATCTCTGGGCCCAGGACCTCTCTGACCCCATGATCTTTTAGATGTCCAAAGCATCTTTTATAGGAATATTTCCTCTTACATTTGGGGAATTGAAAGGGAAAAAAATGACCTCTGTTGCCTTGGTGTAGGACAAGTTCACTAAGCATTAATGGCAATGTCAGGATACCCATTTTCACCACTGGCACTCAGCATTGTGTAGAGATGCTAACCAATGCACCTAGACAAGAAGAAGGAATAAAAAAGTAGTTTAGGAAACCTGGAAGAGGCAAATTTATCATTGCTTGAGGATTGTATCTGTAAACCTCAAGATAAGTTAATAGAAACAACAAGAAATTTGGTGAGGAGGCAGGTTACAAAGTGTATTGAGAACTGTTTCCTTACAAGAAATAATAACCAGTTTGAAATAGTATTGAAGAAAATTCGTCATTTATAGAAGAGACCAAAATTTGAAACCTATAGGTGGTAATTGAGGAAAACAATATGAATAATCTACATGAGGAGTATTTTTAAAACTTGAGTGGGATCAAGAGATTCAATCTTGTGACAATGCGCTGCCAATTGAAACAAACATCAGGGGATAGAACAGCAAGGAAGGGGGGACAAGGAAAGGTGAGACTCTGGCTGTGCTAGCTATTAAAATGAATTCTTAGTTACAGTAATTCATTTTTAATTAGGGGAGAAATGGACAGATCAGTGGAGTAGAGCAGAGTCCATAAATGGGTCCGAATAAAACAGGGACTTTCTGGTAGTAGTGACATTTTATGTTAGTGGTGGAGAGGGATGGATTGTTTGTTACAGTTTGATGACAAAGAGTTGTTTGGAGGGATTATTTCACTTATTCTACCTACTTCCACACATAATCCCTCTCCTGTGAAATTCAGGTGGTTAAGAGGTTTCAATGTAAAAAAAACTTGAACCATAAAATGTCTGTAATAGAGCCTGAATATATCTTACAGTGTAAACACCTTCCTAATCAGGATACAAAATACAAAAATTGAAAAGTAAAATACATGAAAATATAAAACTTCCATATGACAAAAAGAATATGGAAGCTCAAAAGAAATATTGGGCAAACTGGAGAAATATTTGCAACACACGAAAGGTACTTAGTATCTTTAACTCAAAACAATTTTCTATAAATTTATAAGAAAAGACAATCCAATAATCAAAAGATAACATTTAAAGAGATACCCATCCTCACTAAAATTAAAGAAATGTAAATCCAAGCAACAGTGAAACATCAAGCTTTATTGGCAAATGCCGGTTGATAAGCTGTCCTCTTTGGGTATGTGAGAAGGGGACACTTTTGTATACTCTTTGCAAAAATGTGAATTGGTTTAGCCTTTCTAGAATGTAAATGAATCAAAATATAAATTACCCTCCAACCCAAAGTCGTTCTTGTGAGGGTAACAGTTACACCTGCACAGTACACCAAAATAAAGTGATCAAAGCACTTTTATTACTGAAAACCTGGAGACAACGGAATTCCTCAGTAGGCTATGGCTAAATGCATTACAGTATATCCAGGTGATAAAAATCTATGAATCCACTTTTTAAAAAACGGTCTGTTTCTGCTGCTGGGGGGTGTGTGTGTGTGTGTGTGTGTGTGTGTGTGTGTGTGTGTGTGTTGGCTATTAAGTGAAAAAAGGAAGATACAGAAAAATCTTTTGAGTCAAATGTTGAAAGAAGAGTGAGTTGAGGGAAGGGGAGAAGGGGAGAGAAACGAGCGGAGGAACGCTCATCTGCACATTTGTTTCTCTTGGAAGGACTCACTGGAGACCTTGAGTGTAATTACCTTTGAAAAGAGATTTCTCTTTTCATGTGCACTTTGAATTTTCTGACCATGTACCTGTGTCACATTTTAAGTACAGTGGGAATTTTTTGGAAGGGAGACTATTTGCCATGTGTAATTCCTCTTTTCTGCATATAGAACATCGATGTCATAAATAAGGGGATAAAGCCCTTACTCCTTTGATTTGAGTAATTTCTTCAATTTCCTTATACCATTTTCAGACACACACGGTGGGCACAACCTTCACACATTCTTCCTCCTCCTATTTACAATCATTTCTTTTTTATTTTTAGAAGAAATGTTTTAAACATCATGAAATTTTTTAAGTAAAATTTATTTTCACTTACTATGCATTGTAGACATGAAATTTGAGGCCATGAATTAAGTGTGGAAACCAAGATGCCTTGTGACACAAAGTGGCATTTGTTTGTAAATTCCTCAGTAGACCCGTGGCAAGACCATGAGCAGAGGGCAAGTCTGCACACTAGTAACTTGGCACCCCGTTCACTGTTTTATAGTGTTTACTCAGCATCTCTCTGAAAAAGAAGTGAGAGCAGAGTAGAATGAACAGTGAGGGTGGGCAGTGCACGCCCCTGACAGCAGCGTGCCTTTGCTTTGCGAGGAGAGAGTGGGCACAGGTCTGAGTCATAAGCCTCAACATTCATATCCTCAACTTACACATACCCTCCTTCCTAAACCCCAACTAGTGAAGGGTGCCAGGGGCCTGCTGGTCCCTCCTAGCTGTCTGTAGCCAGGCCGCCTCTCCTTTCACTGCAGCCTTCCCCCCACTTTGCAGACCTCTAAACCATCTTGAGCCTTCTCTGCCCCTTATCCCCAGATAAAAGCCTCCTAGGTAACAGAGAAACTTTCAGAATGTAGGTGTCAGATCAGAATTGCTTTTAACAAAGGTCTCCCAACTTCCCACCTGCACACCAATACTGAATCCATCTCCTTATAAGATATGATTCCAAAATATGTTCAATAATTATTTATCAGAATGTATGGTATACTTATATATTTTTATCATATCTGTACCAATATTAATTTTAATGATCAATCATTTAAATCTGAAGAAAATTTAAATCCTTATCGTGAGACATCTAGTCACAGGAAATTCTAAGAGCTTTAACAATTCAGTTTATGAGCATGTTATTATTGCGGCAACATAATGCAAGAATGATTGATAAAGACATTCAAGTGAAAAATACATGTTATTAGGATGCAAGTTTTTGGGAGAAGTGGAAAGAAAATGTTTCAAAGAAGGCAAATTAGGAAAAACAAAATTTTTGCTATTAAGAGCATATTAGTATATTTTTTAAGTGGGCAATGGTGGGTATCACATTACTTTGGCATGTATATTTGGGATCTGTTGCACACCTTCAAAAGTATGACCTAAATATGTGTCAGTATTTGCAGTACGCTGAAAAATATATTTTGCAACTATTTAGTTTGTGAGAAAAACATTAGATGCTAACCTAAAATTATGGGGGTTGTGTGTGTGAGATGAAGCATCCAAAAATTTTGTAAGCAAAAATGTTTTTAATGTACAACATTGTCTTTGCAAGAGTTTTTGTAAATTAAGTTTCCCCTAGTACATTGCTAGTGAGGTGTCATAGACTGTGGCAGGCAGCTACCCAGCTGGTGTAAACACACCTTAACTCCAGGTCCAGTGAGCAAAGCTTTCCTGGCACTCAGGATTTCACATTGCCCTGTATTTGTCTTTAAAAGCATATGATCTGTATTGATGTTGCATGTTATTAACATGTTTCTCGTTACTGAATACATTTGCCTAAGCATCCTACTGCAGAGCTGTTGTGTTGGCTTTGGTGGGGGGAGTGTGAGATGGTTATTAGTGTCTGCGTTGGCTGTGGCTGTGTCGCTTCTCAAGTCATCTCCACTCCTGGATTTCCATATCTTTAGGTATAACCTACCTGACAGTGAAGCAGAATCCCAATTCAAAAGTAAGAGAGATTTATAGTCATTGTCATTAAAAAATGAAATACTAACAAAAATTTTATCTCATTATTTAAAAAGGAGAAAAAGTCTAAAAGATTTCCAGGCTCTTTGGGAATTTTTTCTTCTGAGGTCATAATGTGATTCTCTGACAAACATCTCTTTCTAAGAAAATCAACTTAACAACTGATTTTGCTATTAATTTCCTGGAGGGACAGAGATGTCCAGAGTTGTCAGCTTCAGTGTATTTATCAAATGCCTCCAACCAGGATGTGCCAGCGTGTACTGAAGGTAACTCTTCATGCAGGTACAGCTAGAATGACTGTGCCATCAATTGGGCAGGAGGCAGTGCTGGACCTGATGGTCAGGGTCCAGGGAGTGCTCCTCCCTCCATCTGTCTCACTGCTTTTTGTTAAAATTACAATCTGAGGATAAAAGGTGCAGGACAAAATCTGGGCAGAAGACCCCGTGGCAGCTGCCCCTCTCCTCTCTCTCATGGGTCCAAGGCTTTGTGCACAGTGGATTCTGCTGCATGGGCCCCCAAAGTTGTGCTGCCAAGTTGGAAACCAAGATATTTTCATCACATTTCCTGATTCATCTTTCTGTCCATAGGTTCTAAAATGTCCAGGAGGTCTCGGGTATGAAACACTCCCCACTCTATGCTTTTCAGAAATTCAAAGTAACTGATT